AACGTTTTAGCAAATTCATAAATGTTCAGACTTTGGATTATTTTCAGACTTTGGATTAATTATTTATTTTTGTCGTTTATTGTTCTCTACTGTGTTGCTTAGCTATTTATTCCTGAAAAAACAATCAGAATTCTGATGTAATGAATAAAACAATTTTTATGATTAGCCCAAGTTTATTAGTGTTGTTCTCTTATTCAAATTATAAATTATATAACTAAAAAAATAAATAATTGATTAGATGAAACCGTGCGATTGAATTTGTCGTTGTATCATATATCCTAGTGCATTTGTCGTTTATTGTTCTCTACTGTGTTGCTTAGCTATTTATTCCTGAAAAAACAATCAGAATTCTGATGTAATGAATAAAACAATTTTTATGATTAGCCCAAGTTTATTGGTGTTGTTCTCTTATTCAAATTATAAATTATATAACTAAAAAAATAAATAATTGATTAGGTGAAACCGTGTGATTGAATTTGTCGTTGTATCATACATCCTAGTGCATACATGCAGTGTGGTGAATTACTATGGCTTATTATAGTATATTTAGGGTATTTTAGTAATTTAAAAAACATGGGTTATCTTAAAACATTTTAGTATAATATTACACCACCCAAATATGTATTTATTTCCTTGTAATTCTCGTTGTCATTGCAGGCTGGTTTATATTCACCATTAAGAAAAGTGATTAGTGTAACCTGCTTAAAAATAGCCGTGAACTTAAAACAACAGGACAAAAACATAGTTGATGACTAAAAAATAACCATTTTATGACTGGGGGTTCGGTGCCTTGCTCAAGGGCACCTCAGTCGTGGTATTGAAGGTGGAAGAAAGCGCTGCACATTCCCTCCCCCCACCTACAATCCCTGCCGGTACGAGACTCGAACCCACAACCTTTGGGTTACGACTCTCTAACCATTAGGCCACGACTTAATGTGTTAACATTAACCATAGTCAGTGTTATGGTAATCAACCAGTGTTAACCATAGTCCTAGGCTACGGGACTGTGTTACACGCAAATAAAATTTATGATGAATAAATGTTAAATAAAGTACATAAAATAAAATAGGCCTACAAGAAAAAAATTTTATCCATCCCACAAGTCTTGTAAGTCCATGTATTTTATTGTTATTATTATTGGTAATATTTTTATATTCGTTATGTATTCGATTTTTTTTAAACTTCATTTCGATCTCTTTACTTAACGTTCAGGGCTGCGTTTCCCTAAAGCATCTTAAGCCTAAATCGACTGAAGAACCATTGTCATCATTTGGCTTACGGAACGCAGCCTTAAAGAGTTTTGTAAATAATAGCCTATACTGTAAATGCCCGACATGCCAATAAAGCTTTGACAATGCTATATGACAGGAATTTTTACTGGAAGTGCAGTTTAGAGGATGAATTTAACAATAACCCTATAAATACCCTAAGCCTATAATTATAAATACTAGAATTATAAATGAATAATTTGCGTAGTTTCATTTGTAAATGAAAACACCACTCATTTATCGTCACATACAGGTGTAAATGCAATCATAAAGTCAAAACTTTATTGGCATAATTGTCAGGCGTTTACAGTATTTGCAAAATATATGGTAGCATATACTATCAACTAGAAGTTGTTCCCTCAATAGGATCTCATGGCCACGACATATTATCACGTTCCCACGAATTAATATCTCGTGGCCACGACAAAACTAAACCAAAAAGACTC